GAGACGCTGGACTAGCCATGTAAATCCTGTGACTTCCTATTTGTACACAAAGGATGCTCACACACAAGGTCTGAAGAAGGTAAGACCCAACTGAAGTGGAAAAGGATCCCCTTAAATTAAAAAAAATATTGATCGAAGGACATCAGGTGTATCTTACATTTACAAACCGCTGGGAAATTCTGTCTCTCTCTTTCAGTCTCTCAATTTTGTGTCCCGTGGAAATGACAGTGTCTTCCTAAGAGAACTGCTCTTTTACACCAGGTTCTCAGGAGTTATCTTTGAGAGGGAAGATTATCTTTCAGAGGAAAGAGAGATTTCGGGGCTCAGTTGTCCAAGCTGGATGTCTTTCAGGGACTTCTCTCCAGTTGCTTGCAATCTGACAAAACGCGGTGGCCCTGCCCATCCCCAGCTGCTTACTCTTGTTTTGCTCCCTCCCCTCCCTCTGTTCCTTCTGCTCCTCCAGGAGGAAGAGCCTATTTTCCCAGAAGCCTCTCTTGCCTGAAGACATCAGAAACCCCAAGGACACAGGAAGGCCACATAGCACAGACCTCTATCGAGGCCAATACTAAGCTCTTAGAACCCTCTCCTGGTTTTCAGTCTACCTGGTGCCTCATTTCCTGTTTAGATTTCCATTGGGGCTAAGAGGTCTGGACTAGTGCCTATTTCTTGGCCTTTATAAGCTTTCTCCCTTCTTGTTTCTCTCCGCTCCAAAGAGCTTGCTCTTCTTCTTTAGCAATAAAATAATAATATAGCCACCCTTCAGAACTATATGAAGTAACACACCAAACCTCACACTCAGAGCTCCCCACCCTCACACCCTTCTTCTGACCATCGACATGGTATATGTTTACTCAATGTTTTCTCCACACTCTCCCCACCCCCAAAACTGTAAGCTCCCTGAGGCAGGGACTTTGTTTTTCACTGCTGTGTCCCCAGAGGCCAGCACACACACATCCTAGGCATTCTATAAATATTTGCTCAATGAATGACTAAATGTGCCTAGGATAGGATGATATAAACAAACTTGCAGAAAACAACTTTTCTAATGCTTTAAAAATTACCCAACGGGTGTTAAAACTGTCAGGGACTTGCTGAGGCCATCCCTCAACATAATAGGGGAAAAAAAGACTTTTGCTCTCAGATATACCGTAGCCTGAAATTCTTTGTGGAATTTATTTTTAAAGAAACAATCTGTTAGACAAATATGTGCACCCTTTTTATTTAAAGAGTATAAAATACAGAGTCATAGCATCAAACTCAATGATTTTTTTTTCTTTATATGCCACAACCACCACCAACCTGATATACCACGGAAAGTAATTTGATTCTGTTTTTGGAGAAAAGTCACCTCCACCAAAAATCTTATGATTAGCACATATGCCTTTTTAAGTAAAATCCTTTAAAATATTGACCACAGAATCACATGGTACTTTCTAAAAGGTTCTGAATAAGTCAGAAAATTTGTTTCTTCTAAAAAATGAAAGAAACCCGGCTGGAGAGGCTCGGGGGTTGAGCATCAACCTATGAACCAGGAGGTCACGGTTCGATCCCAGGTGGGGGCGCATGCCCAGGTTGTGGGCTCAATCCCCAGTGTGGGGTGTGCAGCAGGCAGCCGATCGGTGATTCTCTCTCATCATTGATGTTTCTGTCTCTCTCTCCTTCTCCCTTCCTCTCTGAAATCAATAAAAATATATTTAAAAAATAAAAAAAGAAAGAAGAGGGAAAGGGAGGAGAATGCATTATAACCTCACTTAATCTTCCAGAATGATTCACTTTTTATAATATTATTTCTCCATGTATTTGTCAATGTCACAGGAAAGGGTCTGCTTCACAAACCTATAGAGCGGGGATAACTCTGCTCTGGATTCAGTCTTGCTTCTTAAATGTGAGTTGCACTATTGGAGTTGGCACTGATGCTCAGGTTTATTTCTACTCACTGATGGGATTTTGATGGCACGAGTCAATGACGACAGCCCTCCAACCGGTAGCGGAAGCTTTTTGCATGATGCTGAGCTCCAGACGGTCCAGTGTTCTGCGCCTCCCATTTGGAATCCCAGCTCTCTTTTGGTTTAACAGGCACCATCCAGTTGCTTTCTCCTTGATGCCACAAATAACAGTTTCAACAAATCTCATGATAGCACCTATCAGAGTTTTCCAATAGATAATTTACACCCAGGACCACTGCTCGCCCACATGGCACTTTTGTGCAAATGGGGCAGCGGGGGGGGGGAACACCCCTTCCTCTTGGGGAGTCAGAGAAAGACAGGGTAATACCAACTGTATTTTCATAAAGTTTAGGGAGAAAGTTAGGGCAGAGGAGGAAACTCGCTTTCCCTCCTCCTCAGCCCACACCTCCACCATGAAACAAGAGAGGGATTTTTCAACAAAGTTTTTTGCTATTTAGTTCAAGTGCAAGATATAGCTTGCTAATAATAGTGAGTTTTCCTGGAAAGACCAAATCTCTTCCAGAATAACTGGAACCAGGTCAACGTTTTGTGTGAGAAAGACGTTTTCAGAGACCAGGCACTTGATTTTGAAGTGCATGCTCTGCAGGTTGCCGGCCATTCAGTGATCTCTTACTTTTTTAGAGTTGGTCTTATGCTCTGGGTTTGCCATGAGAACAAGAAAACTGCACTGGTGCTTTCTTCTTGATTTCTCCCGCCTGCATGCTCTTTGTGGAAGGAGGGAGACAGCGAAAGGATAGAGAGTTAGAAACATTGATGAGAGAGAGACATCGATCAGCTGCCTCCTCCACACTCCCCACTGGGGATGTGCCCACAACCAAGGTACATGCCCTTGACCGGAATTGAACCTGGGACCCTTGAGTCCACAAGCTGACGCTCTATCCACTGAGCCAAACCGGTCAGGGCTGGTGCTTTCTTCTTGATTTCTCCTGCCTGCATGCTCTTTGTGGAAGGAGGGAGACAGCAAAGGGGAGAGGGGAGAAACTGAGGTGTGAGAAGGGGGAGAGGTAGCTGCTCCTGGAATCTCAACAATATCTTGGCGAACAGAGTCCGGATGAATTAGAGCACTGGATGCCTTTCTCCCTGGTCTGGGCCAACAGTGGTGATGGAGTATGTTCTCTCTCTCTCTCTCTCTCTCTCTCTCTCGTCCCCTTTCCTGGAAGCTAAAGGCACTGCCTGACCAGGGGAGCTACGCATGCTTTTTTACTCCCATTTCTCAACAATAATCAAAGCCAGCAGTGGGGAACCTCTGGCCCGCGGGCCACATAAGACCCAAGAAATCATTTTGTCTGGCCCTACCAAGACATTAGGGGTGAATTAATTAAATGTTTGACCAAATATGGCAGGCTAATTTTTAAATTGATAATTTTGTATGGCCCGAGATTGATGTTATAAATATCCAAATGGTCCTTGGAAGCGCATGCTTTTTTACTCCCATTTCTCAACAATAATCAAAGCCAGCAGTGGGGAACCTCTGGCCCGCGTGCTGCATAAGGCCCAAGAAATCATTTTGTCTGGCCCTACCAAGACATTAGGGATGAATTAATTAAATGTTTGACCAAAAATGGCAGGCTAATTTCTAAATTGATAATTTTGTATGGCCCGAGATTGATGTTATAAATATCCAAATGGCCCTTGGCAGAGAAAAGGTTCCCCACCCCTGCTCTGAGCACTTTGATGATGCACACTGGTGTGCATTCTAGATGGCTGGGAGTGCCTGTTTCAGGCAGTCTTCAGTTTTGACTCTAGAGACAATCTATTCCAGTGTCTGCCAACTTCTTTGCCTTCACCTCATAGTAAGAAAAAAAATTTACATTGCAACCCTGTACACACATACCTACATAAACATAGACTTAACTGAAACAAGAGTTTGGAAACAACATTTAGTCATATAACACGTAATGAATTCTAATATTTTCTCTTTTTTTTTAATGCTGATCACAACTGACTAAATTGATTTCACTAATAGGCCAGGGCCCACTGTTTGAGAATCACTGATCTATTTTAATTCCTTTATGTTATAAAGTAGGAAACTGAAGTCAAGAAAGGTTAAGTGACAAGGTTACACACCTACCGCCTGGTGGCAGAACCAGGCCTAAAACCCAGGTAGCAAAATCATCTAACTTAACTAGTGACTAATAGGAATAGGTCTTCTTGCAAAACAATGAGCAGGTGCTGTGCCAGTACTGTGAAGGGTGCAGCTATTTACCTAAACATAGATTTTTTTTTCTTTAATGGTGGAAAACTAAATCACTCAAAAAAGAACAACGTGGAATGCCATCCCCCAGGTTCTCACACATATATCATGTTCAGTTGCAAACGCCAGTGTAGAGAGCCAAGTGTTTCTATATATTGTTTATATAACTATATATGTGTTGTTTGTTTTACGAATGTTTTAAATTACATCTGCAACTTGGCTTCCTTTGGCTGGCTCATGTAAACTTCCTGCCACTGACATCTATAATGCAAGAGGGAAAAAAAACAAACCCCGAGCAACCAGTCCACCCAAAAGTCTTCAGCTAAGCCTGCTGGGTCAAAGAAGTGTTGGTGGGCATCTTTGTGACCAAAGGGGGGGGGGCCTCTCAGTTTCCCTAGGGGATGCGGCTGAGGTATGAACAAGAGGGTGGGATGCATCTGAGAGGAACCGCCATGCAGCCACAGTGTGAGTCTAAGAATCTCAGCAAAGCAGGACAACCTCACAGCCCATCATTCTCAGATGGTTCACCCTCAAACGCTACCCACACAGTAACTGCCATTGATTCTGACCTCATGACCCCTCCAAAAGTGGTATTTCCATTAAGATAAGTTAGTCTTTAAGAACGAAGCCCGAAACTTCAGCAACCAGTAGATTTTCTTTCAATAAAGGCATGCATGTCTTCCTGTTCCACCTATTTGTCTCCTATTTTTTAAAAAAAAGTCTGCTACAGCCAAAGCAAATACTTTCTTTCTTACCAGCAGCAGGGCTGGTCTCTAACCTGCCCCGGATACGGAACTGAGGATGCAGCTGATTTTGCCCACGGCTTTTTCTTTTTTTTTTTCATTGATATGGTACCGTTCACCGGTTCACGTGTCAGCTGATGAAAGCAGGGATGACCTTTTCCAACAATTGGCCTCCTGTCTTTACACTGGCTTTCTGCACTTGACTGGGAGCCTTGAAGATCACATTAAGGGCAACTTTCAACCTATTCCTGTGAAATGGCAACAGAACAGTAAGTGACACAGAAGTAAATGGACATGTGTGGGTATACTGAGGAATAGATTTAGGCACTTTTAGGTTGGGAGGGTGAAAGTGTCACAGCTCGTTTCTGAGCATGTTCCAGTGGGAGGCAAGCATGCTTTGGGGTAAACATATGGACCACATGCACAGAAGCACTGAAAAGTAGGCATGAAAGTTACATATGCAAAAGTACCGCAGAAATTCCTGCTATGATCATTACGAAATTACCTTGGAGTGTGGGTTTCTGGCTCACTTTCCAAGCTATGCAATTCCTTTCATAAAATCCCTCGGCGGCATTATGCCTGCCCCTTGGTCTGCATTACCTCAGCATAGCACAGTGAATGCTTTGTCTCTTCCCAGAACTGACTGCTAGGGCAACTTGGTAAGAAGGGATTCCTTTGGGGGAGATAGGAAGAATAGATCAGAGGGTTTGATTATAACCCTTAAGAATCAATTTTTTAAAATTGGTATATTTCTGTCTTAAATCGTGCCTAACTATGTTTTGGCAGACACATATGGATGACTCTTGCAATGGGCAGGCTCCCATACCCATATTTATGGCAATTATGTCAGCATGTAATCCATCCCACTGTCTATGAAGAGATCAACAATTGCAAGTTATCATTTCCTTCTCATTACATCGCTTTACTTCTTTTCAGAGACTGACATCGAAATTGCCATGGGATGGAGAATAATCAATCCTCAGAAGAAAATGAAACAGCAGCTCTTATAGCTGGGTAGAAGGGTGGTATAGGTAATGTTTCATTTCTCATCTTGTCTTTGGTTGGTGCAATGCAACACAACAGATTCAGTATTACCAAGGAGGAGGCATTTCATAAAGATGACTACCAGTATGGCAGGGAAGGGGTGCCATGAGCTGGATTTGCTACTGATGACACTAGTAATTCAATGGCATTAAAAAAAAAATGAGTACCATTTCCAAAAGGGATAAGTACCTTTGAAGAAATAATATTGCCTTTTGTTTGACTTTCATGGTCCAGTTCATCCCCAACACATAGGTGCAGTAAAGAACCTGTATCCGTAATATGAACAATAACTTCCTTCAACATCAGTCCCAGGTAAAATGAAACCGGCCAGGAAGAGCATGACAATCTCTCTGATTTTAATAGTTAACAATTCTCAAAAAAAAACAGACTTGTGATTGTAGTTATCCTAGCAAGTTGGCCATTTATATATGATCTGTGTCCAAAAATTTTACTTGTATATTTGGAATATAGAGTTTCAAGTATAGGTGCCCACATACGCAATATAAAAATGATAGGTTCCCAGACCAGCCCATAGACATCTATTTAATCATATTTTGCCGATGGTGTTGAGAGAGACAAAGAAGTATGCAGGATTCAAAGAGCAGAAGTCTGCCTTCGGAAGACAATCTGTGGCACAAGATCCAAAAACAATGTCCTTATGATTTCTACCACTTCCAGGAAGGGAGGGAGGGAGGGAAGGGGGGAGGGAGAGAAGAAGGGAGAGAGGGAGGGAGGGGTGCAGAGAATCAGCCATGGTCTCCAACCAGGAAACAGACAAAGCTGAGTAGCTACTAGGGGTTGGTGAGGCATTAGCAGCAGCAGAAAGTTACTACCACCCTGGAGTGGAGGGTCAAAAGGAGAAAGTGTTAATAGAATCTGGAAGCCAGATGCCCTGTGGAAGCTGGAAGCACAATAGGCCTGTTCAGTGGGGCCTGGGGCCATGGAGGAGCTGCCATAGAGGACATGATGGGGGGTGGGGGGGGGCAGGGTGCAGAGAATCTATAGATTCAGAGATTCAGATAATAACAAGGAGAAATACCATGGTTTCTCTCTTCTTCCCACCATCTAGTCACCATTGGTGCCTTCTATTGACCTAACCCAGCCAGAAACCAGCTGACACAGGATCCTAGGAAACTCAGCCTTCAGGGTCAGCTTCCTGCAACACAGAGTAAAGCAGGGAAGGGCAAGGAATGAATCTGAGGGCTTACAGGCCAGGTCTGGCACACTAGTCAAACAACTAAAAAGAGTGGTGGTGGTGGTGGGGGCAGGGGGACTAATCTCAGTCCTAGTAGATTGAACAGGAAGCGGTTGCTTCTTAGTTCTCAGAACAAGGACCATGCATGATCTACACGAAAAGTCAAATTATGAAACAACAAAGATAACACTACCAGACATCAATATGAAAGATGCCATAACATAAACTATGTCACTTGCCTAATGGATTATCATGAGATGGGGAGAGACCACGTGGGCGTGGGATTGACTGGGTTCTAGTTCAGACAGAAGGAAGACTGGGATGAAATCAGGGCTTCTGGGTCAGAGCAGGCACCATCAATGGAGACAAACAGGTGTTTTACTGAGTCAAACGCTACACACTCACAATGAAACCTGAGGTAAGATATTGGTCTGCTTGGTGGGGGAGGGGAGCAGGCAAGTAACCCATGAACCTGCCACAGATGGCCCTCCCCTCGGCTAGAAGGCACACTGCAGGGCGTTTAAGGACTAGGCAGGTGCAGGAGCATTGTAAACTTTGACAATGAACGGAAAGACAAAAAGGAGCTTGCAGGGCGGCAGGTTTCTGCAAAGGATCTGGTTTGAAAACAGAGAAAAGAGATACTAGAAACTAAGAAATGGTGATGGTTGTATGGCAATGCGCATGTATATAATACCACTGAACTTGTTCTCAAAGAAATGGTTAAGATGTCAAATTTTATGTTATGGATATTTCATCACAATAAAAAAATGTTTAATTATTTTTTTAAGAAGATATTACAATGGCCAAAAGCCTGCATGAGATAAATTCCCTGCCAGTCTTCCCCTTCAGTCCTCAAGCTTCTCAGGGAGGTATTTGCACCTCATTTGTCTTAGAATTCCCAGGGCCTTGAACAATCTCTGACACTTAGTAGGTGCTCAGGGCATAGGTGTTGAATGAATGAATGGGCTGAGGTGAAAGCGCATTGAATCGGTGAGAAGAAGCACCCTGTAGGACGCATGGAAGATGCTCTGAAGTGAGGTGGCAGCCGTGGAGGCTGCTGGAAAACCCCAGGGGCAGCCAGACCTGTGTGGGCAGCTGCCCTCAGAAAATGAGATGGTGCTTTTTGAGCAAATATGCAGAGTCATAAATAGCACAGGCCTATGCAAATGGCCACAGCTGCACAGTCAACACATTCCTGCCCACCAAACTCTTCCCAGCTGTCCCTCTGCTCACAGTGGGCAGGGGCTGCCACCCAGAGTGGGAACCCACTGGGTGGGAACAAGATCATCACCACTGCATTAAGGCTTTATAAGGCTGTTTGTAAGGGTTTTGCCCTGAAGAGCCCAGGCTTCCAACGTTACCTGCCTGTAAAAGTGTCCCAGTCACTGAGCTGGTTATAAGAAAACGTTGAGAAATGACCACTGTGTCAAGTTGTTAGGTAACATACAGCATGTTTCCTATAGGAGTTTTTCATGTGAGCCTCTATTTCTAGGTGTACCTGACCTTCTCCTTTAGAGAGAAAGGATTAAAACCAGCAATACACCATCGTTTTCTGATCTGTATGGCCCCCTTCACACCACTCACTGGGGCCAAGATGAGGGTGAGGCCTTTAACAAAACCAACGAGAAGGCAATGCTGCTTACTAGCATTTTGAGAGAAAGAACCACACCCTGGTCATATTTGTCTCAAGTTCCCTTTCCCATCGGCAAGAATTTAGCCCAGTGCCTGCCTGACTCGGAGATTCAACTGTTTATTAAATGAAATAATCCCGAACAATTCTCTGAATTAAATTTTGAAAGAAATCGAAAGCCACCAAATACAGTTATAATACCAATTCTACCATCACCAACAACAATTCAAATGTATTGAAGGCCAACTGAGGTCCAGGAACCGGGCTAAGTTATAACACAGGTGACACGCGGCCTGCACACTCTGACAAGTCACAATCCACACTTAGGAACCTGCACTGAATGTAACCAAAGCCTCAATCTTATTTTTATTTATTTATTCTCTACCTTTCTCCGTAAAAGATTTGAAGTGACTGCCCTAGCTGCTTTGGCTTAGTGGATAGAGCGTCAGCCTGTGGACTGAAGCATCCCAGGTTTTCTTCCTGACAAGGGCACATGCACCGGTTGTGGGCTCAATCCCCAGTAGGAGGCCTGCAGGAGGCAGTCAATTGATGATTCTCATCATGGATGTTTCTATCCCTCCCTTCCTCTCTGAAATCAATAATATATATATTTTTTAAAAGATTTGAGGTGACTTACAAGAATACATACATCAAAAGAAAACTTTAAGAGTGTTCTAGTTTCCTGGGGTTGCCATAGCAAAGTTCCACATGTTGAGTTGTGAGAAATTTGTTTCTCAGTTCCTGAGGCCAGAAGTCGAAGATCAGGTGTTGGCAGGGTTGGTTCCCTCACAAGGATTCTAGGGAAGGATCTGCTCCAGGCCCCTCTCCTTATTTCTGCTTGTTCCTTGGCTTGACAGCATAACTCCAATCTTCACATGGCATCCTTCCTGTGTGTATGTCTGTGTCCAAATTTCCCCTTTTTATAAGGACGCCGGTCATATTGGATTAGTGCCCCACCCTACTCCAGGATGACCTCATCTTAACCTGCACGTACAATTTCCAAGTAAGTCCACATGCTGAGGTACTGGGAGTTAGGACTTCAGCATATGAATTTTGAGGGGACACAATTCAACCCACAACAATAACTGAGCATAAAGAAATTGGGGGATTCCCAACATACAAAATACACACTTTTGTCTATCTTCCTAAAACCTCACTAAATTAATAAAGTAATGATAAAAGTTACTAATCCACATACAGAAAGAGGCTCCGGAGAAGACAACAGTCGATAGGAGATGGAGAGTGGATAGCAGAGAGAGGAGAGGTAACTGACCTGGCAGAAAAGAATGAAGTGACAGTCCCAGGCCAATCAACTGTGCTGCATTTTATCATTCCCCAGAACTCCAGAGACTGGGAGACGCCATATGCCAGGAGAGGCAGGGGTCAGGCAAGAAGCTCAGGACAGACATTGGTTTAAGAGTTTGGATTCAGAGACATGGGGCATCTTCCCCACCCCACACATACACGTGACCATGTTTCCCAAGCAGCTTCCTAAAAGAACTTGGAGATTTCTTCTTGGAGAGATTGAGTGGAAATGCCCAACCCAGAGGACACCAGGCTTATAAGAGACTGGAGTAGGGGATAGGCATAGCACTAAAATCAGGGATATTAAGTGAAAGCCCACATACCTATGGAACTCTCAATCTTAGACTATGTGCAACCAGAAATGTGAGGACAAAGACAGGAGGATGGAAGATTCTACACCGGAGACCCAAA